AATGACAAACATGTATTGAATTAGTGGCGGAGCCACATACACTTGATGAGGGGTGTCGGCTCCTTCGTCGGAAAATTATATTGTGTAGCCAGATAAAAATATTTTTGATGTGTATATATATATATATATATACACACACATCAAAAATATTTTTATCTGGCTATATATATATATCACATATTGACACTTCTTGGCTTCTAGCAATTTTACTTCTTTATATTTTGATACCACTTAGTCAAAATTCTTGTTCTGCCACTGTATTCAATATTAACTATATTTATATTTTATATCAACCATATTTATATTTTGTTTCAATTGTGTTATAACAATTTGTATTCTAGTTCAAACAATGCTTCACATAATACGTCAAATATATATATATATATATATATATGGTATCAATTGCATTATTACTATTTGTATATACAAGTAAAATGGTACACGAAATGATTAAATAACATATTTTGGACACTCTTAACATAACAGGCGGTTAATTGTTATAGCTCAGTGGTTTTACCTCCTTAGAATGAGGAAGTGCTCGTGTGTTCGAATCTCATTACTTTTACTTTTTGAAAAGAGTTTTTGTTGTGCTATTTCTGGACATCCTTTGTGAAATTTTTGGCTCCGCCATTGTTTGTATAGAGAGTAAGAAAGAGGGAAAGAGTCCTTATCTAGTGATATGTATATCTTTGATCTCATTGGGTATCAAAATCCCATGTGTAGCAATTAATGCAACTTGGCAATCTCTAATCCATCAATTTCCCGTGATGTTTACAAGGGGGACCCAACCAATTGTTGTTCTCTCATATGTGATTTGTTGAGATTAATTATAATATGATAACTCTTATAAATATCCAAACAATTATTACATTATTGGCTGCATATACACCAAAGTATATTAATAAAAATGGAGCCGTGGAAGGACCTTAGCGGAAAAGTAGTGATGGTGACCGGTGCATCGTCAGGAATCGGGTTAGAGTTCTGTCTCGACTTGGCCAAAGCCGGTTGCAACATCATTGCTGCTGCTCGTCGTGTTGACAGACTAAAATCTCTATGCAACCAAATTAATAGTAATTCAAAGGGACCTCCACGTGCAATCGCGATCCAACTTGATGTTACATCTGACGGTGCTACAATTGAGTCCGCTGTACAAATAGCTTGGGATGCCTTTGGACATATTGATGCCTTGGTTAACAATGCCGGCATTACAGGTAATCTATAATTGAGTATACATTTGCGGTATACGATAAGAAATTTTAATTTTTGAGTATGTAATGTGTATAGGTAATGTGCACTCTTCACTAGAATTGCCAGAGAAGGAGTGGGACAATGTCTTTAACACGAACCTAAAAGGGGCATGGTTGGTGTCTAAATATGTATGTAGACGTATGCGCGATGCTAAACAGGGCGGAGGGTCTGTTATTAATATCTCTTCACTGGCTGGTTTGAATCGGGGAGTATTCACAGGGAGTCTTGCTTACGCAACTTCAAAAATGGCTCTTGACATGCTCACTAAGGTACCTACTTGCAAAAAAGAATTCAAAATTTCTTTTATAAAAGTATTTAATTTTTCCTATTTCATTTTCCGTACCTCCTCAAATACTAATTTAGATATTATTTTATCTTTTTTTAAAAATAATTCTACCCACCTCACCTAACCCTCCGCTTCCATTTTTTCTCATTTTGTGTTAGATATATATATATCAGAAATATTTTTTTCTTGCCGAGCAAGACTTTTTTTATTTTTTTATGTTATATTCGGTGCACTAGTAGAAATTGTTTTTCTAAAAATATATGTTCGTACATATCTAACACAAAATGAGAAAAATGTAAAACAAATAAAAATTATGAGTGGAGGGATTTTTTTGGGGGCCCCTGAATGAGTCGGTGGTTTTATTTTTAAATATTTTTTTCGATAGTAATACTTTAATTTTTAATTAATATTAATAGTTTATTATTTAATTTTTATCAAGGTGGAATATTTTATATATGTGGAATGTCGTGTGTCAAGGTTTTTCAAATAAAAGAGAGAATGATTACACACACCATATATGTGTGTTTCTCAAACTAGAAAGTGATAGTTTAGGTATGAAACCCACACTCTCAATAGTTTAAATATGAAACTAAAAAAAAGAATAGTTTAAATGTGTTTTTGACACTTATCTCAATATATATTAATGAATGACAGATTATGGCGGTCGAATTGGGAGTAGACAAGATCAGAGTGAATTCAATAGCCCCGGGATATTTCAAATCAGAGATAACAGGGAGCCTTATGCAAAAGAAATGGTTCGATAATTATACTAGGAGAACCGTTCCTCTAAGAACATTGGGAACGATAGATCCGGCTTTAACATCAATGGTGAGGTACTTAATCCATGATTCTTCGAAATATGTTTCGGGCAATGTCTTCATCGTTGATGCTGGAACTTCCTTACCAGGTGTCCCCATTTTCTCATCACTCTAATCATAAAGATGGATTCTGCATTTAAAGTTCATCGATTCTTATAACGATCTCAAGTTAATATAAAATACGAATTTAGTTCATAAAACAGATATATAATGGTTTGTCTACTATGTACGTTGGAGATTCATGTCATTTGTCAATAAGGTTTTATTTTGCCTTTGATGCGATAAGCCTACTGAGAAGTTATTGTAGTATTGCAAAGTATTTCTAATATGCGGAATGATTTGGGAGTATTTGGCTCGAATTATAACTTGAACTTTTCTACTTATGATTTTATCTAATGAGCACTCAAATTTGATGAAACTCAACTTTTTAAACTACTTTAACGTAAAGTAACTCTCAATCGCGTTGATGTTGCAGTTCATGTCACATAAAATTTGCAATTACTTCAAAATCCAAAACAAAAATTGAATTTGTTTTAGGAACAAAAATTAAAAAGAAGGGTTAATTTTTTTAGGAGATACAAATGGAAGAACGAAAAATTGAAAGGGCAATCAGTTCAAAATCCAATAATTTTCACTTATCAAGCAATTGATTTTACAAAGAAAGAATAAATATTATCTATTAGTCAAATATTTTTTTGGCAACAAGTCTATTTTGGATATTTTCTAAAATAGATTGAAAATACGTACAAAAGATGGAGAACTTTCCTTAGGTCATTCCGTCTTCCTTTTTTTTTTTTTAGCAAATTTATACCACTAGACAGTGGTCTAGTGGCTTTTTTTTATTAATAATAAACAGAAAAAAAAAATCTCAATAGGACTAAGTACAAGTAAGGGAGGCTAGGCCTTACCTTATCAATTCTAATGAGATACCTATCCTCTACTAATTAACAATCATGAAGAAAATACAAGTTAGAGAGAACTAGATATTCTATGATCATCATAAAGTTTATAATACATTCTATGATGATATTACAAGTGAGGATTCTTAAGTAATAAAAAATCATAAAAGCCAAGGAGAAAGTTGAGTTATCAACCTCAAACTTCCTTTTACAAATGTATGAACTAAAAGAGATAGATTGACTATCTAAAGAAACTTGAAGTATGTTTCTCTTGTCTTCTTTTTCAAATCTGTCCAATAATACTTGATAGTTCTTCATTTCTTGGCTTTATTGGATAGTTGTTGACACTATTTTATGATTTTGTTTCGCCAGTCGCATCTGTAGGTGCCTTGGAACAAACTCGTCAGTCACTTTACCATCCCAACTATGCTCTCTTCCATGCTTCGTAATATGCAGCACAAGCAAAAATAATATTGGACAAACTTTTTCGTGTTTAAAATTTAGTTACATCACAAAAATGATTTCAAGACAAGCCTAGTAAAAAGAGCCATATATCAAAATAATTTCGATGGTACATATATTATAGGGAAAATAATTATTTTAGTCCCTGTGTTATTGCCTTATTTTGGTTTTAATTCCTGTGATATCTTACTTCCCAAGTTTAACGTTTAATTAATTATAATCAATTATTTTAGTCCTTCAACTAACGGTGATAATCAATACAAACAGATTTGTTTTTTCTGGCAAGGGCAATTATGCTACTTCACATAATATTATATTAATAGTTTAAAAAAAATAATCAGATTCACGTGACAAATACATTTCACAAGAAATTGTTCTGTCCAAAGTAAAGTGTTGAATTGTAAAAGTTAAGTGTTTATAATATTACTTTGTAAAACTCTTTCTCTCTCCATATCTTTGTAGATTTTTTTCACTTTATTTAAGAATCTATGTTTAGTTATGAAAATCTAAAATTCAACTTCAAATTATATTTGAAATTTGATAAACAACTTATAAACTACTTTTCAACTCATTTTTCATTTTTAGAAATCCTATTAAAGTACAGTTCAACATGAACATTACTCCACCTATTTTGGCAAGAATTATAATCAAACAAAACTTAATTAGTTCTTGGATCTAAAGGCTCTGACTATATCAAAAGGCCAATACCAATTATTAAATATATCCTACCGTGTAGTCAACCAACAAGCAAACATTAAGTATAATTTTTATTTAACTTATATATAAGCAAACGTGATGATGACCTGTTTTTCTTTATTTAATAAATTGCTTGAATTATTAGTCCCCCTCTAATATATTATCCTCTTCTTAGCCATTATTGCCTACAAAGTTTTAAAAAATCATTTTCTGTAACAAAGAATTGGAAAAACTTCTAAACTTGACGAGAATTTTAAGTGTATTTCACTAATATTACAAGATCGAAAGTGTGTTTTGGTTCAATTAATCAAGTAAAGGGTGTTTTTAAGTATTTCATCCCTTTATTTTTATTTGTTCACGGTATTAAAAATAGATATTCATTTTTACTTGTTTAAATTGAAAAATGAAGAGATAACTTATCATTTAGTTATTAATTAGCCATTATTATTAACTTATATAAAGTCATTTAATTTTCTAAAATATTGAATTTATTATATTCAAATGTTGATACAATAATATTGACATTTTATTTTCTATTTATTATATATCCATGAGGTGTGTGTCCAATAAAAATATATCCCACTAGCTATTTTCTTGAGTATTTAAACCTCAAAATTACGTTATAAGTACCCGATGTCACGACCTGTGCATTATTACATTATTGGTTGCATATACACCAAAGTATATTAAAAATGGAGCCATGGAAAGACCTTAGCGGAAAAGTAGTGATGGTGACCGGTGCATCGTCAGGAATCGGGTTAGAGTTCTGTCTCGACTTGGCCAAAGCCGGTTGCAAAATCATTGCTGCTGCTCGTCGTGTTGAGAGACTGAAATCTCTATGTGACCAAATTAATAGTAATTCAGAGGGACTCCAACGGGCAATCGTGGTCCAACTTGATGTTACCGCTGATGGTGCTACTATTGAGTCCGCGGTACAAATAGCTTGGGACACCTTTGGACGTATCGATGTCTTGGTTAACAATGCCGGAGTTACAGGTTATTATTATTATTATTATTATCTAGTTGAGTATACATTGTTACATGTTGTGGTACGTTCAAGAAATTTTAATTTTTGAGTATGTAAAATTAGTTGCTTAATTTGATTATTATTGTATATAGGTAAGCACTCTTCATTGGAATTGTCAGAGGAGGAGTGGGACAATATGTTTAACACGAACCTAAAAGGGGCATGGTTGGTGTCCAAATATGTATGTAGACGTATGCGCGATGCTAAACAGGGCGGAGGGTCTGTTATTAATATATCTTCCATGGCTGGTTTAAATAGGGTAGTATACATAGGGACATTTGGTTACGCTTCTTCAAAGATGGCTCTTGACATGGTTACTAAGGTACGTACTTATAGAGAAGGATTCAAAATTTTAAGTGACTAGATAGTCATTACTCTCTCCATCTTATTTGATTTTTTTTTTTTGACTATGCATTCAAACTTACATAAAAAGTGTTATAGGTAAGAAAAATTATATTTGCATTAAGTATTCAAATATATTTAATGAATGGCAGAATATGGCGATGGAATTGGGAGTAGACAAGATCAGAGTGAACTCAATAGCACCAGGATATTTCAAATCAGAGATAACAGAGGGGCTTATGCAAAATAAATGGTTCAATAATGTTACTAGGAGAACTATTCCTCTAAGAACATCGGGAACGATTAATCCGGCTTTAACATCAGTGGTGAGGTATTTAATCCACGATTCTTCAGAATATATTTCGGGAAATGTCTTCATCGTTGATGCTGGAACTACCTTACCAGGTGTCCCCATTTTCTCATCACTCTAGTCATAGAGACGGATCCTACCTTTGAAGTTTATGACTTCTTACAACGAATTAAATTTAATATATAATGCTGAATGAGTTCATAGCCAAATGTGTTTAGAGGAAAAATGATGTTGGTTTTGTCTCACTGTTCAATTGTGTCCAAGTGAAGTGTATCTTGATGCAGTTTAAATAAATTCATGCTTGTATAAAGTTTTACATATTTTGTTTTGGTTTATGATCTTTGTAAAAGTTTAATTTTCAACCTATGTAGTGTATTGTTGTGGTCTCTATGGTTATTCAGAACTTCGAACAAATTGGATTACAAATATTATGCTTGAAATTTTCTCAAAAATATTTAAATTTTTAAAAAATGATACAAGAAATAGGGCACCAGAACCTCAAGCTCTGAAAACTATATATATATAGGGGTATATAGCATGCTTACATGTATATATTTTAGGGGGAAAAGGTACGAGTACCCCCTAGACTATGACTGAAATCCCAAAGACACACCTTAACTAAACTAAGATCCTATTATCCCTAACCCTTTTTTTTTTTAAAAAAAATTTATGCACCTTTTTGACTTACGTGACATCCAAATATCTCACACGCGCCTCAATTGCGTGGAGTCACAGAGTGTGCCACGTAAGACAAACGGTGTACAAAATAACAAAAAAAATAAGTTCAAGGGGGGTAATAGGACCTTAGTTTAGTTAAGGTGTGTCTCTGATAATTCGGTCATAATCTAGGGGGTAGTTGTGTCTTATCCCTATTTTAGGGGAAATTTCTCAAATAACCATTATAATAAACTTAATTAGGCTCCTTAACTATAATTTGCATATTTACGTGTTGTAGCTATAGCTTACTCGTTTGTATAATTCACACCTCGTTGCATTATTCACGGATACGTTTGTATAATTCACGTGTAGCTGTATAATTGAGTTATTTTCGTCTGTATTTGTATAAATATAATTATATATGTTGGTAGACTTTTGTACTTATCTATTTTGTATAAGTAAAGTATAGAAATATACTACTAGAATAACTATATACAATGACAGATTTATACAACTATGGGTACAACTGTAGATATAAAATTGGATCTGTTTTTCGGAGTAATACAAATTCTAGAATTATACAAATATGATAAAACTCGAAATAATGAATTTATACAAACACAAACATCTAAACTCTAAACAATTATACAAATTATATTTGAGTACCGAGTCGTTGAGGTCAATTTTCCTGAAATTACAATTGTCAAATTAATCTTTTTATGTTTGTGCAAATGTATGTTTAGTAGACAACATTTCTCAAAGAATAGGTAGTAATTTTAAGTCCATAAGGTATTGCGTTGATGATCCTCACAAAATGCACTGTTTTTGGAGGACCAACACACACTCATCACGTCATTTTTGAAGAGTTTGAGCAACATAGGGACATACTATGCAGTTATGTTCCAATTTGTAGTCATGCATATTGTGTCCACAATCTTTTATTGAAAGAATGCAAAAGGGGCAGCAGAATTTTGACATTATTTGGAAATATCGACCTATATGGAGTGGTGAAATTGAAGATAGATCCATGATGGTAGAACTCATAATCAAGTTTTAGTCATATATAGTGAAGAACTAATACTACTAGAAATTCACTGTTTTCACACGGAGAAAACGTTCGGTGGCTTATTTCAACAGATATTTTGATTGAATCAATGAGAAAAAACTAGTAATATTTTCATACAAAAAAATTAGAAAGTTCCCCACAATTTCAGTAAGAATCCATTACCTACCATGCATTTTCATAGTGAGCTTATTCAATGGAAAATGAGTGAAAAAATTATGTTCTGAAGCACAAATTTCTCACTAATTCACGGTGGAAAAAACTTTGTTTCTAGTAGTGTAATTAAGGATGATGATTTGCTGAACTAACCAGAGAGTAGTAAACTCCACAAGGCCTTTTAGCTAACAAAGAAGAGTGAGTCCCCTTCTCCACAACTTTGCCTTTGTCTAACACAACAATTGTATCACAATTTTGTATAGTACTTAACCTATGTGTCACAACCACGCTTGTCCGCCCAACCATCACTCGTTCAAGTGCCTCTTGCACTAATTTCTCCGATTGACTGTCCAGGGCACTCGTTGCCTTGTCTAATAATACCACCCCTGGATTTTTTAATAGTGCACGAGCTATCGCGATTCTCTGTTTTTGGCCTCTTGATAACTGCAGTCCCTTGTCCCCACACCATGTGTCATATCCGTCTTTTAATGCTGAGATGAAACTATGGACATTTGCTGCCTTTGCGGCTTCAATTATCTCCGATTCATCCACTTCTTCTGATGCTAGCACTCCATACGCTATATTTTCCCTTATGGTTCCGGAAAATAATGTTGGTTCTTGGCTTACAAGTGCTATCTGGTTCCTCAATGACTTCAAGTGGTATGATCTTATGTCACGCCCGTCTATTTTTATTACACCACTTAAAGGATCGTAGAATCTTTCTATTAGACCAATTATCGTGGACTTCCCCGAACCACTTTGTCCTACAAATGCTGTTGATTTTCCTGCATCGATTGTTATCGAGAACCCCTTGAAGATGATCACATTAGGCCTGGCAGGGTACGCGAAATCCACCTCATACATCTCGATATGGCCTGTTATTTTCTTTGGCTTGTAACCATCTGAATCCTCTGGCTCGATTAAGGAAAATCGATCCAATGTTGTGAAGACTGATCCAACAGCATCCGTACCTCTGTCGAGATCCTTAGACATTGTTCCTAAATCCGCAATGACACGCCAATTGCTAATTAAAAGCACCAAGATTTGGAACAGGGCTTGAGCTCCAATATAGCCTTCTACCATGAAATATCCACCAAACCAGAAAAAGAGAGCCCATGTACATAACTGGAGACTGATTGTAGTGCCAAGTATGATTCCCGACAACCATGACTGTTGTATATTTTCGCGTAGAGGGCCTTCTTGGGCTTCTTTTAGCATTTGAAGAATTCGACTTTGGGAGTTGAAGGCTGTTACAGTTCGTAGATTAGTAACTGCTTCAGCTGCTAACTTGCTGCTTTCTTCTTGAGCCTGGATGGATTTTTCCAACATGCTTTTCAATAAAACCCGCCTGCAATAGATGGAGAATATGATGAAAGCTTGAACCGCGATCATAACCAATCCCATTCTCCACGCGATAACTAGGCCAACCGCGCAAGCTATGGTCATCCCTGCAATTGTTTGAATGAATAATGACATCCTGTCCCCAACCAAAGACCTCACCTGCGCAATTATAAAAACAGAACATGTTGTCATTAGTTATTTCACGCTATATGACATCATTTCCTTTTAAGTCTGATAAAAAAGAACGAGACTTTATATAGTTGGTTACTCTATCAACTTCAATTTTTGTTCTGAAAATGGGCCTGATATAACCCTCAACTTTGTCATTTAGAGATGATACACCCATCGTTATACAAGTGGCTCACATATACCCATTTGTATTACAGTAAGGGTATATGTGAGCCACTTTTAGAACGAGGAATATATCAGTTCTAAATCGCAAAGTTGAGGAGTATATTCAGACTCTTTTCCCTTTCTTTTTTCATCTGTAGTCAATGAAATGATCTTAGAGTCACAGAAATGTCATGAAAGTCTAAGACCACAAGTTCGAGCTAAATGTGTATCATTCTGAAACAGTATATGATTAGTCAAAGACCGTCATATAAAATGAATATGAAAGAGTAGACATCGTACCACACTGGCATCATCGGTAAGTCTAGAGCATATTGCAGCAGTGGAATTCTGTTCCTTGTCATACCATCCAACTTCGAAAGTAAGCATCTTGGATAACATCCTCTCTCTGACCCTTTTAGTCAATCGCTCTCCCATGACCGCGAAGTTATAATGCTGAAGTACATTGAGAACAAGGGTAATAAATGCCATCCCCAGGAAAGCCAGAGTATATATCTTAGTCTTTTTCTTAATCTCGTCATGACTAGGCGAGTAAGACACTGATATCATTGCCCCCATCAGAAAAGCATATACTGGTAGAACTCCACCAACTAAGATTGCTCCAATACATCCTAAAGTTGCTTGCTTCCATTCCGGTAAATTCATAGCCAAAAGCCTTTTAAATGATCCTTGCCCTGAAGTACTCGGAACTGTTGCATTTTTCTCGGTTGATTTTGCTTCTGTCAAGAGGCTTGTGATACTTACATGTTTTGTATCATCTTGATTTGCAATTGAAGAAGATTGTTGTGAAGAGGCAATAGTCGCTCCAGTAGGTTTTTCAGTTTGTTGTAGACGGACTAAGGAAGCGTATAGTCCTTGATTTTTAATTAGCTCATTGTGTGAGCCAATTTCCTTGACCTGTCCATTTTGGACAAAGGCTATAAGGTCAGCGTTACGGGTAGTGGAAAGGCGGTGTGCTACGATGATTGTGGTGCGGCCAATGGAGGCATTGTCTAGAGCTTCTTGCACCACTATTTCTGATGCAGTGTCAAGTGCACTGGTTGCCTCATCTAGGAGGAGTATTCTTGGTGACTTGATAATAGCTCTTGCTATGGCTATTCTCTGTTTCTGTCCCTCAGACATTTGTATACCTTTCTCCCCCACCTGCATGTATGTTCTTCCAAACTATTATTTTTTCGAAAGTGACCTGATCGTATAAATATTTTTGTTTTACACCAATAGTGCATATAACTAATTAAGTACTGTAATAATTTAGTGCATATAAATTGCTACATATTCAACAGTATTTACATAAATGTCTCATTTAAATTTATTCAGTTGACATCTATGCCTTCCAACTTTGGGTGCGCACACAAGTAGAGACTTAAACTTGTATAAAGTTGAACAAGTGGGCACACACATCCTATATGACGTCCTACGTGGCATTTCGTATGAGATACACTTGAACTAATTACTATGACGTCATGGAGGATGCATATGTCTATTTGTTCAACTTTTTACAAGTTTAAGTGTATACTTATGTACATCAAAAGTTATAGGGCATAGATGACAGTTGAACCCAAGTTAAGGGGCACGTTACCTGAAAAATATTTTCCATGAAAAACATTTTCCTACCAAACACACCCCATGTGTCTAAATACTTTGAGAATATATATATAAGACATTTTACTCATACCTTGGTGTAATAACCCTGAGGCAATTTACATATGAAGTCA